TGTCTGTCTCCCAGGGCCTAACTACAGGGAGTAAGGCATATATATATCATCAATAAACTGCATTCAGTTAACTGTTCATTATTCTGCAACTGCTGATCCACTTTGTGGATTTTCCATGCCCTTCATTTTTCTCCTCCTCCATACTACTACCTTTCTTTTGATGATTTCACTGCTCATTATCACCTCTACCAGAAGTGAGAAGGAAGAATGTGAAATTTAAATGACTTGAAAATGACTTTTCAAATTTATTTTGAGGATAAGGAGAGGAAGTTGAAAATGTGAGCTAAAATTAGACCTAGGGTTTTCTAATGACTTCAGCCAGCTCTACTTATCCCTGTTGAAGTGATGCTAATGGAATTCTCAAAATTAAAAAAAAAAAAAACCACCCTCCAATCCCATCATTTTTTCTTGGGGCTGGAATATATAGGCGAAAAATAAAAGAAGAAATGTGAAATCTATTTATACAAATTTATCTCAAAAAATAGTACTAGTGAAAAGACATTTAATTTTCAGAAATCACATAGTTGAATATTTAGTAAATGTTTTTGAAAACAGGTTAGTATTATATTAAATTGGCTTATTTGTATCCTTTCTATAGTAGTGCACATTTATATTATTTTACAGAACTATCTGGTTCTTTTAGGGAGGGAATTGATGTGCTGGTTTCTTATTAATCTCACAATTAATTTCTGAGTTGTGTGGGGAAAACGTGATAGAATTTTTATAAAGTTAGCCTGATACACTTGAACGACAATTTATCCAAAATAGTGCTATTTCAAAAAAAATGTAAATTATACAACAAATAAAATAGTTAAAAATAAAGAAATTAGTATAGATAGCAATGTTTAGAGCCAAGACTTCTGGAGATAATAAATGGGGAAAAATGCTGTTTTTCTAAGTTATTTTCTAATCAGATAATTCTGACACCAAAACCTATTACTATTCTAGAAATAGATGTTTTTGAGAATTTGAATTAACTATGGACCATCTCTCTTGTTCTCAAGTAACATATACATTAAGAACAAACTGGTTGATAAAATTACTTAGAACTTTGCAACACTTCAAGTGTATATGGAAATATACACTGGTACTATATTTTAAGTCTACAAGTTGGGAAAAAGTTAAGCTAGACAAGCACAGATATTTGTGTGCATGTCTGTTTACTTCAGCGTTATGTCCAACAATGTTTTTCTTATTGTAGGTGAATGATAAATGTTTTTTTGACTTCCATTACATTTAGTATATAGCTGCCAGATTCACCTTTCAGTAAAAGGTGAAGCAGAGTAGAAAGATCATGCACTATGGAGACTGGAGAAACCAATTCAGTCACCATAGTAACTGACATGTAATTTACGGCTGTGTATTGATATAATAAAACCTATATTGTAAACTATTATGAAGATTTGGTAAACAAACATATAAATCACCCAATACCATGTTCAGAACACAAGGGCACTCAGTGATAGTGATTTTATCATTTATCAGATACTGTATTGATTTTACGAATGTGACCACTTTTCAATCTTGATAACTAGATCAGAAAAAGACTATTATATGATGTATAATAGATACCTATTATATATTTAAATGATATATTTATAAAACAATATATTCCTTAAAATAGTTACATTACATATGAGTATATATTAATTATATCATGCTATGTTTACATTATGTCTTGTTTTGTATTATTTACATTTACCTCTATATATATGTGTGTTCATAATATATACACATACATGTTTTCTAAGTCATCTAAAGAGACTGTTAATTTCATGTATTATATTAAAAAACAGAAAGTAGTCTTAAAATAATATTCTAATTTTTTTTTAATTTGCAAGCTTGAATTAACCAGTCCTATACTAAACATATATATAGGTCTATGGCTTAAAATAGTTTTAATTTCTGTGTATATAAATTACATAGAACTTTGTGGATAAGAGTATTTATTAAAATACTTTAAATGATACAACCAGAATTAATTGAAAAATAAAAATAAAACATAGCACTTCTAAAACTTTCCATTTTCAGGGTCTGTTTACTAAGCATACAAAGTCTGATAATGTTATTTTGATAGATATTTATAAGCCAAGTCACAGCTTTATAAGGAGCTATAGCTACAAGGAGAAAATACTTGCAGTAAATAAAAAATACTATTAACGTTTAGTGACATAATGCAGTAAATAATAGTCAAATGAACCAGTATCTCATCATGAGATTTTTTTTATTGACAGGTATTAGATAAACTTTTTCATACACATATCTGCATGTAATTTGTGAGGGTATTTTTATAGGAAATTAGCACAGATAGGTGGGACGGCTTTTCTGAAGTCACACAGTAACTTAGCAGCAACCCCAAGAATGGCATTTAAAACCCCTGACTGGGCTCAGTCTCAGTGTACCATCTATTGTATCAAGTTGTTTTCCTTGTCTATAGAAAAATAGGCTTGGGAGGCATATAATCTAATTATTCTTCTAGATCAATTTTTACAAAACACCTGGGAAGCAGGCCCAGAGCAATTGAGACATCTGAGAAGCTCATAAGTATTATTTTCAAGAGACTAATAGCACAGAAGCTCTTTAATTTATCTTTAGAAAGTAATATGCAACACCAGATGGTAGGTCACAGACTGGCATTATAAGGAATAGAAGTTTGAGAATGTTTTCACGGTGTCCAGAAAGAAAGGACAGAAGAAAAAAGGGCATTTAGTCCTTTTTTTAAAGCCCGATTATAGTGTAAGCCTACATGAAACTGCTGCTTAGATCCTCAAAGAGGAAAGATAATAACAAGTAGCTCAGTTACATTTTGGAATGCGACATGTAAGTGTATTACCCAAAATTGTGCCAAGGCCTCCCAGTCTTGATGACAAATTTCCATGTAGGGACTTTGAAATAACCAAAGAAACTAAAGCAAAGTTGCAAACATCTCTAGAATGTGTTTAATTCTGTGTTTCAACTGACATTATTGTATATATGTTCGTGCTTTTCAAAACACTCTAGAAAAATATATTGCCAAATAGATTAAATTTCTTGCCAGTTTAATGAAGGGGAGGAGCATTAATAATCCTTTCCATAGAGAGCAGCTGGATGATATGGCCAGAAAACCAAGATTCTGCTGGGATGGGGTATTTGAAAAAGGAACTTCTGTGCCAAAAGCAATCACTGCCAAGAAAAGAAAAAGCCTAAGAAAATTAAAGTCCAGGGAAAATTAAAGGTTGAGAAAATAATTACAAAAGAAGTGATGTCACTTCATTTTGACTGTCTATATAAACAATAGCTTCTGTGTATTATTCCTATAAACAAAGGATAAACTTAAGAAAGAGAGCCCTATATTTTCACCAAAGAAAAAGTGAATGATGTTAACCTGTTGTAAACCGAATGGTCTGTGAAGAGGATATACAGTCATCTGTGCTATCTGAGGAGAAACAGAATTAACTCAGATTAAGGGCTCAGCTTGCATATCCTCATTGATCATTGATGAATTGTCCAGTTCTGGCCATGTGCCCCAAACTTCCAGAAGCGGTGGGAATTGTGTGAAGACATAAACACATTTCAGAAGCAGCATGATACTGATTTTTGAAGTTGGGTATGTTTCAATTCTAGACCCCAAAGTAAATATTTATCAACTATGGTAAAATTTCAGCTGTTGGGCAGAGCCAGAAGCTGGGGAAGTAGGAGAGGCAAATCATACTTGCCAGACTGTGTTTTGTTTACCAGCTCTATAATGGCTTTTTCACCCACGTGTTCGTGTGTGTGTGTGTGTGTGCACACGTGCACAGAGCATGTGTTTACTGCTCCATCAGCACTCCTGTTTCACTTGTACATGCTTAAGGGAGCTAATTTTATAAGCCAGATTCATATTTTATATACCAGATTTGTATCACAGAGAGTTTTGTTTGTGAACACTATGCATATTCCCATTTTACAGTAATCAACTATTTTACTAACACCAGGTTTTTTGATGTAGTGTTGTCAATACTTAGGACTCTGTATCCAAAATTAGTGGGATGAGGAGAAAATAGGAAGGATCAGAGGAAAACGATTAGCTCAACCAAGCAATTTATATTCTAGCTAGCATAGCGTAAAAGAAGAAAATTAAAGTGGATTCTATGCAAAGTACAGGAATGTCAGCTCTTTCTCTGACCTAAGAGGAAGACTTTTTCTATTTTTAGCAGAAAGGATTTTATGTTCAGGGCAGTACACAGGTTATCTCAAAACCTAGTGATGAAGAGAAATGTCCACTCAGGGAAAGACGAGTGGTCTATCCATTACTTACACAGCAACCTACAGATCAAAAAGTGCCCTGCAGACTTAATGCATTGGAGTCTATCAACAAGCCTGATTTTATAAACGAGAAAGCAGGTCATATAGCTATTCAGTGTCAAAGCCAGGGGATAATCAAGAATTTTTACACCAACCCCTCCAAGATTACTTTTGGAAGGATCACTGCCCAGTAAGTATTCCAAGAATAAAAACAATAATTTGAAAAGTAAGCCTTTTTTTTTTAATCTATGCTTCAGCGAGTGCCTTAAAAGAATAAAGTAAAAATGCACCACTTAGAGAAATACATTAAAATTGCTCGCAGGCAGAACCTCTTATGTTCTTCCCACTGTCTCCCTGATTCCTTCCCTTGGCCAGAAGCCGCGGCTGCCTCTGATGTGAGACCACAAGGTAGACACCCAGAGGGCTTGCGCCTACAACTAGGTAACTAGCAGAAGCTCTGCCGCACCAGCAGCGAAGATTCGAAATCGAAACCTTCACTGAATTCACACATTTGCTTTTAAGGCTCAGACCGCCTTACAAAGAGTTGGAAATCCCTTCTCTCCGCAGAGAAAAGTGGATTCCCCGCCCCCCCCCCTTTCTGTGCCAACACTGCTGGATCCAAGTCTCTTGGAAGAACTGGTAGCCAAGCAAGCGTTTTGGGATCGCGCCTGAGATTGCTCTGTAGCGCCGACTTCCTCCCTCCCTATTCAGATATAAATGCAGGCTTATTTATTTATTCTAATTCTCCCTCTGAAGCGCGCAACCTGTGGACTTGGTTTCTGAGGGATGCGACCAGGCAAGAGGCTGGTGGGCGCGCGCTCTGGCGCCCGACCCAGTGGCGACCGGTGGCATCTTCAGAGGCAAACCCCCACTCGGGTACCTCTGGCGGGGGTCTGGCGACTCAGGCAGGAAACCATGACTGTACCCTTCTTGCCCCACAGCCTTTCTGTCCCCCTTTGGCTCCCTTAATTGATGAGCCAGTGACTATTGGCTGAAGTTCCCCAGCGATTTGCATGAACAGAGAGGGAGTGTCTTCTGGCGCCCTCCCGTCAGGAGCGCGCTGACTGCAGCCTTCCTGGGAATGCACGGCGGAGGGAATGCGCGCAGCTCGCGGGCCCTGGCAGTGAGCTGGCGCTTGGAGACCTGGCACCCGCGGCTGGATATGGGGCATCTAAGTCGTCCCAGGAGCAGCACCAACCACAGAAACCTGCCGGTAAGTGTTCGGATGCAGAACCTTACGCTGGGACAAGTTGCTATACTGTAAGGCAGCTTCCACTCCTGGCTGGGTTTTCAAACCTTTTACCTTAATCCAAACTTCACGGGAAGGTTGGGGGAAAAAAAGAGAGGGAGTTTGGAATGTGTGTATTCATTTTAGGAAGGACTAAGTAAGTGTTTGAGTCGTGAGAGGAAGTTTCTGAAGCAGAAATGTGGACAGATGAGGTGGAGGGGGGCTGGAGGTGTGCTCAGTTCGCCTCAGATGCAGGCGTTCCGAGATTGTTTCCTGCTGCCAGCATCTGGCTGGGACTGTCTACTGCAATTGACAAATTGTTTTTGCATAATCATTTTCCGCGTTGATATTTATTTCCCTAAGGGAGGAGGATTAGTGAAGGTTTGGTACGAGGGGGAGATTCAGATCCTGTTGATTTGAATTTAGATGCGTGCTTAAATGAAATTCATTTCTTTCCCCCCAAGTGTTATTAAATAAATGGGAAGTGGGGGATCCGAGGGAGAGAATTGCTTTATCCCATATATTATTACTATTGATATTATTGGTGTCACAATAAGATATTTCGCGTTCCAGAGTCCGGAGTGGCAGAAACGGTTCCATGGGACATAAATTGCCCACGTCTCAGGGCTCCCCACTCCCAACCCCTCCCTCCCACAACCCAGCCGGAGCTTTCCCTGTCGCGTTGCGCAGTCCCTCGGCTAGAGACCTCACCACTCTGGCGGTGTATTTCCAGGGATGCTTTACGGTTTGGGATTCCAAATGCCCACTGGACTACGGTGGTGACTGGGATGCAGAAATGGGAACGGGGGAATGGAAAGTGAATAGGAAAAAAAAAATAAGTTTGGGAGTCACTGTTGCCCCTTAAATCTCCCCTTTGCAGCAAGTTTCCCCATCCACCTCTCCGACTGGCTGTAGAGGGTTTGCTTCTGAGAATAGGGACTGGGCAGCAATGACCCTCAGACCCTGGGTTCTGAGTCCCCTGTCTGTTTCCGCGGGCATGTAACGAGCATTTCCGTCATCCCCTTTCAGCATCTGCTTCTGTTTTTCCTCTTCGTGGGACCCTTCAATTGCCTGGCGAGTTACAGCCGGGCCACGGAGCTGCTGTACAGCCTGAACGAGGGGCTGCCCGCGGGGGTGCTCATTGGCAGCCTGGCCGAGGACCTGCGGCTGGTGCCCCGGGCCGCGGGGAGTCCGGACCAGCAGGCGCAGTCCCCGGAGCGCTCGCGCGCAGAGCGCAACCCCCCTCTCTCCTTCAGCCTGGCCTCCCGGGGACTGAGCGGCCAGTACGTAACCCTCGACAACCGCTCTGGGGAGCTGCACACTTCTGCCCAGGAGATCGACCGGGAGGCCTTGTGTCTCGAAGGCGGTGGAGGGGCTGCCTGGGGCGGCAGCATTTCCATCTCCTCACCTTCTGCTGACTCTTGTCTTTTGCTTCTGGATGTGCTAGTCCTGCCTCAGGAATACTTTAGATTCGTGAAGGTGAAAATCGCTATCCGGGACATCAACGACAATGCCCCACAGTTCCCTGTTTCCCAAATCTCTGTTTGGGTCCCAGAAAATGCACCGGTAAACACCAGGCTAGCCATAGAGCATCCTGCCATGGACCCAGATGTAGGCACCAACGGGGTGCAGACCTACCGCTTACTGGACTACCATCGTATGTTCACCTTGGATGTGGAGGAGAATGAGAACGGGGAGCGCACCCCCTATCTAATTGTTATGGGCCTGCTGGACAGGGAGACCCAGGACCAGTATGTGAGCATCATCATCGCTGAGGATGGTGGGTCTCCACCGCTGTTGGGCAGTGCCACCCTCACCATTGGCATAAGTGACATTAATGACAATTGCCCTCTCTTCACAGACTCACAAATCAATGTCACTGTGTATGGGAACGCTACAGTGGGCACACCGATTGCCGCTGTCCAGGCTGTGGATAAAGACTTGGGAACCAATGCTCAGATCACCTACTCTTATAGCCAGAAAGTTCCCCAAGCCTCCAAGGATTTATTCCATCTGGATGAAACCACGGGAGTCATTAAACTTTTCAGTAAGATTGAGGGAAGTGTTCTTCAAACTCACAAGCTCACCATCCTTGCAAACGGACCAGGCTGCATCCCTGCTGTGATCACCGCCCTGGTGACCATCATCAAAGTCATTTTCAGACCACCTGAAATTGTTCCTCGTTACATAGCAAATGAGATAGATGGTATTGTGTACCTGAAAGAACTGGAGCCTGTAAACACTCCAATTGCATTCTTCACCATAAGAGACCCAGAAGACAAATACAAGGTGAACTGCTACCTGGACGGTGAAGGGCCATTTAGGTTATCACCCTACAAACCATACAATAATGAGTATTTGCTAGAAACTACAAAACCTATGGACTATGAGTTGCAGCAGTTCTATGAGATAGCCGTGGTGGCCTGGAACTCTGAGGGATTTCATGTCAAAAAAATTATTAAAGTGCAACTTTTAGATGACAATGATAATGCCCCTATTTTCCCCCAACTCTTGATAGAACTAACCATTGAAGAAAACAACACACCCAATGCCTTTTTGACTAAGTTACATGCTACAGATGCCGACAGTGGAGAGAGAGGCCATGTTTCATATTTTCTGGGGCCTGATGCGCCATCATATTTTTCCTTAGATAGTGCCACAGGAATTCTGACAGTTTCTACTCAGCTGGACCGAGAAGAGAAAGAAAAGTACAGGTACACAGTGAAAGCCGTGGACTCTGGAAAGCCACCTAGAGAATCAGTAGCCACAGTGATGCTCACAGTGTTGGATAAAAATGACAACAGCCCTAGGTTTATCAACAAGGACTTCAGCTTTTTTGTGCCAGAAAACTTTCCTGGATATGGTGAAATTGGAATAATTAGCGTAACAGATGCTGATGCTGGACGGAATGGGTGGGTTGCCCTCTCAGTGGTGAACCAGAGTGATATTTTTGTCATAGACACAGGAAAGGGCATGCTGAGAGCTAAAGTTTCTTTGGACCGAGAACAACAAAGTTCCTACACTTTATGGGTCGAAGCTGTGGATGGGGGTGAGCCTCCCCTCTCATCTACTGCAAAAATCACGATTCTCCTTCTAGATATCAATGACAACCCTCCTCTTGTTTTATTTCCTCAGTCTAACATGTCTTACCTACTGGTTTTGCCTTCTACTCTTCCCGGGTCCCCGGTGACAGAGGTCTATGCTGTTGACAAAGACACAGGCATGAATGCTGTCATAGCTTACAGCATCATAGGAAGAAGAGGTCCTAGGCCTGAATCCTTTAGGATTGATCCTAAGACTGGCAACATTACTTTGGAAGAGGCATTGCTACAAACAGATTACGGACTCCATCGTTTATTGGTGAAAGTGAGTGATCATGGTTACCCCGAACCTCTCCATTCCACCGTCATGGTAAACCTATTTGTTAATGACACTGTCAGTAATGAGAGCTACATTGAGAGCCTTTTGAGAAAGGAGCCAGAAATTAACATAGAGGAGAAAGAACCACAGATCTCAATAGAACCGACTCATAGGAAGGTCGAGTCTGTCTCCTGTATGCCCACCTTAGTGGCGCTTTCTGTAATAAGCTTGGGTTCTATCACACTCGTCACAGGGATGGGTATATACATCTGTTTGAGAAAAGGGAAAAAGCATCACAGGGAAGAGGAAAATTTTGAAGTACAAATGCCATTAAAAGGAAAAATTGACTTGCATATGAGAGAGAGGAAACCAATGGATATTTCCAATATTTGATAATTCATTGGGATGTTTTAACGGACTTTGTGTAGTCTGTACCACTTAAACAAGAGTGTGTGGATGGCAGGTCCAGTGAAGGACGACTAATTTATAAGTTGTACTATATTGTAAATAACTGTTTACAGGTTTTTAAATTCAAAATCAGAGGTTATAACATGTGTACAGCATTTTTTAATGAAAATTGGTACTAACAGCTATAGAACTGTTATTAAAAAAAAAAGCTTGGACATGATTTGCAGCTTTCATAAACCAAGCAGGTGATTGATAAAACCTGGGAACAAAGGTAAGAAAATGTATATTGCATTTTTTTGTCTAAAAAGTCCTTTAACCACAAGAGGGCATCAGTTGATCCTTTGCAAAGAACTGTTTTGAGCTATTGTACATGATAGTTGTTGTACATGAAATTAATGAGAGTATATTTTAAATATATTGTTTTTAACATTTAACAAATATGAAATTAAAATAAATTGAATTTCCCCCTTAAATGTATAATAAAAAGAAATGCATTTATAAATAGAATGATTATTACCTCACAAGTACATTCTGTATAGTTTGAAAGAGAAGGCATTACAAAGAAAGTGCAATTCCTTTTTAGCTAGGATAAAAACATCAAACTGTATTAAAGATTTAACTTGCTGAAGAGTATTTCACTTTCTGTGTACTCAAATCATTTTCTGTTTGTTTTACCACTGCACTGGCTATTATAACAGGGAGATACATATATATATATTCATATGTATATGTATATGAATATATATATATTCTGTACAGAAAATGTATCTAGAAACTTTGTCCAAGAAAAACAGTCACAAGCAAAGAAATGTTTCACTCCTTAGTTGCTTCTTAGGTGTTCATGACATTTTTGTGCTTTCACAAGTTGTCAATAGTGCTTTATGCTTGGGTTATATATTAGCTTTTTAAATCCTTAAATTCAGTCATCACATAGAAAACAGAAATTACATTAAGATGAAATTATTCTAGAAGCTAGAGTGGATGTTTAGGTTGGGCATTTTATATGAAAGTTATACTTATCTTTTTGTTGTTGTTTAGGTTTGTTGGCTACCATTTCTGGCTTCCTTTCTCTGGCTTTGGATTAAGTCCAAGAGTTTATTTGTAAGCCCAGCAGCAGATTCTTTGATAATTTAGCTTTTACTGAATCCTTTGCAATGCAGTAAGCTGGTTCATCAGTGATTGATTGCATTCACTTCATTGTGTGAGCTAGAAATTTCATTTTACATGAGATCTATAGCAAAAGTATCTGTAAACAAGGAATGTGTTAGCTTAAACTGGATCATTCTGCTTTCTGGCATCATGTGTCTGTACTGTACTAAAAGTGTTTATATGTCTGAAAATTAAAGGTATATATTTTCATAGTTTTTTCTCATTTTTACCATTTTATATTCAAACATGGGCTTGTTCTTTCACTGAAGTGCCTGTTATTTGGCATTTGTTTGCTTTAAGAGCTAAATGTGAGTGAACTATAAATATTCTGTTATGATAAAGTTTATATTAAACTAATTCATTACTCAATTAAATACTGGGTAGGTCATTAAATACGTGTGTGGTTATAAATACTTATATAATAGAGTATGCCTATATGTTTGATAGAAATTTATATGAACACTTATACCCATGCATGTGCACATGCATATTAATTTATTATTGATTTGGCATCATTTATAAGCTTTCATTTTGACATATAGCAAATCATCTGCTAGATGGAGTACAACAGCTTTCAATAAATTTCAAAGTGAAAATACATTGCTGGAAGAGAATTGAATGGAAACATCCGAGACCTTTTGAATTTGTATTAACTCCCTTTCTTGCTCTCTTCAAGTTGACAGTTTAAATAAACAAAATAATAAACATATGAGGCAGTAGTGTTTGTTACAAAAAGGATATCTATTTTTGCTGGAAATTCTTTTGTATGAGAGACCCCTAAGCTAAAAGACTAAAATCACTTAACTTCCAAAATTTTTATTCATAATTGATGACTAAATTACCCAATTGATGAAAAATTTCTTTATAACTGCAACTATTTAACCATTAGTATGAATTTAAAAAAATCTATTCCTTTCTAAATTCAAAGAAGTTTCAAGTATTTGGGGGCATGGACTCATCTCTAGCATGAGAAATGCCCATAACATGAACAAAACGATGTATTTCTGAATAACTTTTTGTGGCAGGATTTTCTTTATAAAAACATCTCACTCATATTAAAAACATTTATAACAAGGAAAGTTAAAGTAAATTAAGCTCAAAGATAAAAGAGCCTTTTTACTAACACCTTGTGCTAGAACAGTTGCCAAAATGTATGCTAATCATGTCAATGTTGTTAGTTGAGCTGGCACAAAAATAAATGTTCCATTCATTAAAAACCCTAATATCCATTTAACAGTTTGAGAACCAGCAAGTTCTTTGCCCAATTTAGTGAAGAAGAAATTGCGCTGATCTTTGCACTGCCAAATCTACTTTTACACTACAGAGAAAATTGTTCATTAATTTGGATTGGGAAATTTAATCCCTACATTGCAATTTAAGCTACAGGGGGATAAAAACAATTTATATTACTTGATTCTTGAGAGTCGATTCTCTCTCCCTATTTAAAAAAAAAGTTTCCTTGCAGTTATGCCACCATCATGGTGGTAAAAAAGGAAAAAAAAAATTATTCTTTTATAACAATTCTGTAGGAGTAGTATAGTACAAATGAAATTCAAATTCTTTGAGTTTTGGGAGTTGTTTGTGTGTTGTATGAAAACACCAGCCACAATCTTGATAAGAAATAACATAATCACTGAAACAATATTAGGAAAGGTTTAGGAAGTTGACTGAATTGCAGTAAGATTCTCTCAAATGGGCTTTACTTTGAGATCCCAGAAAATGTCTTAATTGACAACTATAAAAAGGGAGAATTAAGCAAGTCTTTCCTCTGGACACTCAGGTTCCAGTCTCATTTCCATGAGGTGAGGACCCTGTGGGGTCTTGACCTCTGGCAGACAATGGGGAATGTAATAAAAGGCCAGCACCTAGCAGATGGTGCTCTGCACCTCCTCTGGGTAGCCTCAGCCCAGGGAAGCCAAAGACATAGATACCTGGCCATTTTTTCTCTCTCAGGTACATTTCCTCACTGCTAGAGAGCAGTCACTTGCTGCAAAATGCCATTGTGCTGACTTGTGAAATCTATGCCAGCAATGTGTCTATACAATCTGACATCAAAAATATTTATGGTAAGGACAAGAACTGAGTCATGCAGATATACTCAAAACAGGATATAAAAATCAATTTTTAAAAATTAGTGATTCCTGAGCAAAACAGATTCTTCATGTTTTTTTCTAGTAAAGTCTACTGATTAGAAAAGATCATGTATATTTTCTAAGAAAATACATTGAGTATATAATCATTTTAAATGTCAGTAATTGCATATAATTATTCTTAAAATAGTAGCATTTTTTTTTCTCTGATCCACCCCTAATCAGGAATGTAGGCCTCTAATTGTGTAAGGCAAAACTGGATGTCCTTTAAGACTTAATCCACTAGTATCAAGAAGAAAACTGTAGTGATTAAAATATAAATCATTCCTTTTCTTCCTTCCCTATCTATTTATTTTAGTACTCTAATTACAAGGATTTTACTGAAAGTAAGACAGTGTTCCTGAATGTATTTAGATTAAGGTGTGGAAAGTCAGTAAAACACCCTTCAATCTCACATAGTGTTTGATAAATGCCTATTTCCATGATGTCATGTGGACAGGACTTCACCCAATCTTAGAAAATGTTGGAGAGCCCTTCTCACAGGACATGGCTTCTAATTTGTACTCTCTCAGAGGAGATGGTGTCTAAACTGACTCTTATAAAAGGGAAGTTAACCAGGGGGAGGTAGGAAGAAGGAGTAGGGTCTCTGAGAAAGAGGCAACAGAAGAACAAGGCTCATTGTGAAAGTGAGCATGCCGTAATTGAAGAGCCACAAATATTACAGTTCTTGACTAAAGAGAAAACAACAATAAATTATATTATGAACAATGTACTTGGAGATGTAAATGTACTGAAAAAATAAAAGGAATGATGTGTCATAGTCAGAGGTTGCTAGTCCAAAGGTGATGGAAATTTTAAAGATTTTGACCAAGAAATTTCTGTTTAAAAAAAAAATCACTTTGACCATATATAAAGTTCTGTTGAATAAAATTCTAGAGGCTAATTAAAATACAGTAATGTCAATTTAAGTGAAAGAAGGGGTCTTAAGAGGGAATATAAGGGAATAGAAGAGGGTTTAGGAACAGCATAGATAGTAGTAGTAGATAAAGAAACTTGTGGTATCGGTTAGAAATAATTCACATGCAATAAGCCAGAAAGTTCATAATTTGCTCTCAAGCCTATTTTAGAATCTGAAAAGGTTAGGGAACTCATTTACTAAATATCAAATCAGCAATGAAAGCACTAAAGTTATAACCCCCTTTCTAATGCTGGGTTTTATGACACAGATGGAATTATAAACATACTCACCCATTTTATTTCATATTTATGACTGTCAATTCTATTCAACTTAACAAATATTACTTTGTGTCCATATTATAAATATCCTAACATAGGTTGACCTCTACAAGAATATTTTATTCAAGGTATTTGTAATATTTTGCTTGTAGTTTCACTGAAAATCTCCAGTCTTTCAAGTTGAGAAATTTAGTTTCCCAAAAGACAAAAAAATGTCAAGTGGATGATTTAAGATATAAATATAATTTCACGTGTTGTGTGAATATCAAGAAAGAATGATATGTCCATTGTAGGCAATTCTGAAAAAGATCCAGGAAACATGAGCAGATAAAATGGATAGTTAGGGTCAAGAATAACATAGACTTTGTGGTTTAACATAGCTTTGAATTGAAGAGGTCCTTTAGCACATCTTATGCCTGTTTATTTTCACAGTTGGAATCTGGATGAAATAAGCATATGGTATATGCAAAAACAATAGTATGTACAGACCTATTTTCAATAAATGTTCCTTTGTCTTCTCTTCCAAAAATCTGACCCTACTTAGACTCATCTATATGTAACTATGAATTTATTCTTTCTCAAGGTATCATTTTGAAATTCTAATAAATTAATTCATATAAAATATGTCTCAGGCCTCCCTGGTGGCCCAGGCAGTTGAGCGCAGCGCTGTGAAGCTATCCACAGCCTCTGCAGTGCAGGTTCGATCCCAGCCTTCCGGGGAGATACCAATATGGCATAGCAGACCTCTCCTGTCTCACTCGCTGCTCCCCTCAGCAGTGTATTTCAGTCCGTCTGCCTGTTCTGTTCCCCACTCTCTCTCTGATGAATCCTTTCACCCTCCCGCACATCTGGCTTGTACTCCAGTTCTTGTATACATGAATAAATAAAGCTTTAAAAAGAATAAAATATGTCTCATAAATGAGGTGTTCCACAACCGTTAGCTAGCATTATTGCCATTAAAATTAAACAATGTGCTATGAATTTATCTTAGCGGTTTATTCACTCATTCTTTCATCAAATTCATTCAACCTATGTTTTTCTTACACAACAGAAAAAAATAACATAAAATTGACAGTGTTTGAGATTGAAAGCTTGTATCTTCAACCCACTCTCACCTCATGATCCATTTCTTAAGTCCTTGGCATTTTTTTCCCCTTTTCTCCCACAATGAATTCATCTGTCCTTTTTCATATATAAACCTCACCAGGGTCAGGGCACTGATTTAAATGATTGGACCATGGAAATGTAGAGAATATTTAGTTCAACTATTTCATTTTACAGCTGAAGAAACTAAGACATAGAATACAGGAACGGAAGGTTTAGAAAACAGCAATTGTGACTACAAATTACAATTTCAATTCTACTAAAAATAGCAGTTACTTTCCTTTTAAACATTTCTCTTAAATCATATACTTTAATTTTGCCCTCATTAGAAAGCAAACCAAAGTGATATACTTATAGGGACAATATGCCAAATCTTAAAAAAAAAATTGTTTGAGAAGAACATTTAAAAACAAGGTCAATCAAAACTAATTATTAAAATAAATTATCCTCCCTGCATGAATTTGTTGAAAAAAGTAGATACAATTTTAAAAATTACTTATATCAAAGAAAGAGAAAAACATAAGAAATTATGTATTTGACAAGTATGATAATAGCAAGAAAACAGTAAGAACACATGAAAATAATCAAGAAAAATTGTATGAACGCTGAAGAAAAACTGAAAGGAATTAACTTGATTTATAATATAGAATATTTACAAATGCAAATTCACAAATCTAATTAAGAAAAGGCAAGATCACAAAAGGGCAAGAGGGAGACAATAGATTTGAAAATAAAGGTGATCTGGTTTATGTGTAGTAAGGTAAGTAGAAGGTAAACCCCAAGTGACCAGATGTTATGAACTCACTCAATCACAAAACTTTACAACCACAAAAAAAAAAAAAAAACTGGATTATTGTCCCTTATAGTTTTGGGTATAATGCCCTGAGGTTTCAACCAAGAGAAACACTGTTATCATCATCAGCTATCTATTGATAGATTTTTCTTATTAGCTTACACCTGTTACAAACAAGACATTGCATTAAGCACTGGAATAAGTTTTTTTTTTTTTTTCTGTACACAAATGACTTCTCATCAGTCTGTAAGAGCTAATGTAAACTACACCTGCATAGAGATTAATTTGTTCCTCCTCCCTCTATTCTCCTCCTGTAGCTCTCATATGTGCACATGTACTAGAGAGACACAAGGACGGTGATGGCAGATGAATTGTTTCCTAAGGCTGATATTTGACAGACTTGGAGCAGTTACTGTCTGCTGCCAAATTTTCCAGGACAAAAGCAAGAAAAAGTGTCCTCATACTTTCTGTCTGCCTGATTGTGGCAGGCAAGATTGAATGGGGGAATACAGGGGGAAAATAGGGAATTTCTGCAACTCAGAAATAACCTTGTAAACAGTAAAAAGGCTGTTTCACTCCATAAGGAAGAAAATATGATTTTATAAGAGGTGTTAGAAAATCAGTCCCCTACACCCTTCCATACTGCTTGATTGTATTTGCAAAACCTAAAGGCTGAAAACAGAAGTCAGCAAGAAGGTCATCTGATCCCATGTAAAAAAGAAGTGCTTGTAGAGTTATGCATTAATGCTGGAAGCTAATAAGGAAAACATCAAAATTACTAGAGAAATACAATCTTTGCAATGTGTATAAATTGCAAAGGAGAGGTTAGTTTTCTATGGATAGACTAGGTACATTTTGACTTTTATAACTTGTACTTTTTCTAAAGATTTATTTATTTATGCATGCAAGAACTGCGATACAGGCCAGAGGTGTGGGGGGGTGAGAGGATTCACCAGAGACAGAGCGGGGAACAGAACAGCTAGATATACTGAAACACGCTGCTGAGGGAAGCAGCGGGGTAAGCCAGGAGAGGTCTGCTGTGCCATGTGCATAGCTCCCTGGCCAGGGGTCGAACTCGTGCCACAGTGGCTGCTTCATAGGTTGCATTTAACCCCTTGTGCCACCAGGGAGGCCCTATAACATGTACTTCTTTTACTCATTTTGAAAATTTCAATTACCTCTATCTTTCAAGTACAACTTTCACTTAAAAGATTAAAAAATAAATGCACTGGGTATTATAAACAAGTTAAGCCCCTCAGAAAGATCATAAATTTACATTTCATAATAATTAAAATGTAATTATGATATTCATTAACTACATATGCCCAAGTAACCCTGCCACTATATTTCAAAAATAGCACTGATTTCTATTTTGCAAATATATTTTATATCATTTCAAATTCATAGTTTTGTGCTAATAAGTTTTCTTAAGCTGCTTTCTTGGCAAAGTGAGGTTTTGATTTAATGGAGTATAAAATGTACTTCAGGAATTGTTATGCAAATCCTTCAAATAATACCGTGCAACACTATTTTTCAAAGTTATGAGATCTGGTTAAATGTATGATGAAAGGGTGTTTTAATGTTAATGTATAAAAATGACTACACATAGATTCTAAATCCTCCATTACATAAGGAAAAATATTACAAGGAAGCATTAGATCTTGGAGTTGGAGTGAAGAGGGCAAAGGAAGAAAAATAACTAGCAATTTTTTAATTCTAAAAAATTAAATTATTAAATATTTTTTCCATTTGAAAGGATCACCCTGTCAGCTTCCCTATTCATACCCACCCAGACTGCCTTATCAAATTGGGAAACTAGTTTCCTTCATATTTTTGAAGTTAAATTATAAAGTCCTAAAGACACTCAAAGTCAAATGAATGTGGGCATTGCCAGCCATAATACTGCACAATACTGCTACTTTATGTTGAGACAGTCTTCCACTTACGATGTTTTCAATCATTTTTTTAACAACACCATGTTCCATTTGATTTACAGATTTTCATATTAACTAGCTGTTAAAATTCATTGTCAGAAGAATTTCTATAATAGGTATTTAGTTTACCCCTAAAATAGTTATATTGAATATCCAAGCATTTCAATTTAACAAAATCAACAATCCTGCATGTTTCATCTCTCCATTTAATCCTACAAATGATTTTTTCCTCCAAATGTACTATGAAACATACCATTTCCCCCTTCTCATTTACAAATGTAATTAGCACAGGAATATACAGATTTCTGTAAAGAATAATCGAGTATAAGTTGACTTATAAGTTTCTCTCTAGTAAGGTATTTAATGCAAATTAAAGGAATCAAATTCCTCTTTTTGTGCTTTATGTTTGACTCAGGGCACACTGTTTCAAGTGCCACGATTTATCATTATTTCCAATCACAGCATTTGGTGGGGAATGTTAGCCCTATTGAACATAATTTCTGAAAGATCTTAGTAATGGATGTATATATTGGGAAAGAAAAGCAATCTATCTCTGAAATGTATGAAATACCTATCTCCTAGAAGCAGGAAGGATGTTAAGACATCAATAGTTTTCCTCTGTAAGCTTCCTTGATCATACTCAGTCATCATTCTGTTGGTCTCTCAAAAGAAAAGCTCAGTATATTGACAATCCACTTATTAACCTGTCGGTGGTAGGCAGATTAGCCCACCAAAGATGTGTATACCTTAATGTATGGGACCAATAAATATGATATGTTCCTTGCAAATAGGAAGCGAATTAGTTAATGACCTGCCGCGGACCAGCGCAGCGGTAGACTTGCAGGACTGTCTCAGGATTGAGAAACTGTGAGGATGCTCAAGGAATCGGCGCATAAATGACAGACAGACACACAAATGACAAACAGACACACTTCAAGAGTGAAGATCTGAATGTAATTTGCTCAAAATCATCATACACTTTTATACCTTTTTTAACAATGGATGATTTCATACAATTTAATTCTTTCTCAGCATAAAATACTTTGTAAGGCATAAGACATTTACTTTGTTATTTATGTGCATGTGATTGCTGTTCCATGACATGGCACAGTAAACAATCTCAAGGTACTGAATCTACACAATCATTTTAGCTTACACCGAACAGCATTTTTTAAGCTAGCTTTTCTTGATTCGTATCCCAAAACCACAATGATCAAAAACATTGATATTTACCTACTGGCACCTTTTACTTTTAGTGATCACGAGCAATATATTCTCTACGTAAGCATTTTGATTTTTATGGTGTTGTCTCATGTGAGAAGTATTATGATTATTATAAAACTACTATTGCCACACACTATTTTCTTTATCATGCATTTCCTGAAACTGATTGTACACATATAAAGAAAAAGCAAAGTAAGTGAAAAAGTAGTATGATTATAGGCAGGTTGCTAGGTTGCTACTTATTCTGAAACAATGGCTATCTGATTAATGGTAAAACTGTTTTGTAGGTAATTCCATCAGGCTTGTTTGCAGGTGACGCTCTTAGCAGCCTTGTTTCCATCAAAGGAGGGGTTAATTACTGCGGGCTTGTTGCCTAAATTAGGCTTATAGGCATGTAGACCTTGTTTAATCTGAACGCCAAAGTTTATCATGATGAAGCCCCTCGGGCACTGCGCCTGTCTTAGGTCGTCAGGAGTCACAGACATGAGGCTGGCCAGTGCCTTCTTTAGTCTGCCCCCGATCTTACCCGTCATTGACTGTCCAGTCCAGCGCACAGGGGAAGGGGGTCTTACTCACTCTGATGTGTCTGAGTGAAAGCCTCCCTCTTTCCAGTAAGTTCACTGGCGTTCAGCGGCAGAGGCTGCCGCAATGACCTGCATGAGCTTGGAAGTAGATTTATCCACAGTGCTTCCAGAAAGCAACGCTGCCTTGGTGTACCTTGATTCTGCATCACACAATCAATGCAGAGGGCTAGCCTAGTCTTTTTTTTTTTAAGATTTATTTATTTATACAAGAACTGGGGTATAGGTCAGATTCGGGGGAGGGTAAGAGGATTCACCAGAGCCACAGCGGGGAGCAGAACAGGGAGCAGAACACGCAGACTGACGAAGTACACTGCTGAGGGGAGCAGCGGGCTCACAGAAGAGGTCTGCCTTGCCCTATGGGACCCTCACTGGTTGGCCGGGATCGAACTGGCGCTGCAGGGGCTGCGGACAGCTTCACAGGCTCTGCGCTCAACTGCCTGCACCACCAGGGGAGGCCTGGAGTAGCCTAGTCTTCACTAGGCTGCTACTACGGAACTGGAAGTTATACAAGAGTATTTTAAACAGCTATTTTCATGGTAATGTGTTAAATCAGTAATATAAATCTACAGTCTCCTGAAAAATGCATTATGCATCCACTTGAGGCTGTTTAGTTGACTCATTATAACAAAACATTGTTTTATTTATTTTCAACAGTTATTTGAATGTTTCGTACAAATCAAGGGTGTTAAGTACTTATCTAATTATAATATGCTAGGAAAAATCTTAGAATAACTATCTAAATATAAATGGAAAATAAAAATCAAGCCTTGTGAATCCACCATATTCTCAGCACTGTGACTCTGTCAGGTAGAGTCTCTGTTCTTTCACTTTTATTAACAAGTCACAGGAATAAACAGAAAACCAAGAGTATTTTTTTACTTCCTTAAAAGACTTTCTCAGTTGACTAGAGTTGGAATGAATAGAGCTGAATTGTTAAATTCATCTCAGACCCAATTTGGGCTGAGATGAACTGAATGACTGATATTTGTAATTGAGATCCTGTGGGTGGATGTGTTGTGATTGCATATGTAAAAGGTTGCTCTGGTGGAAAAAAAAAATTCCATCTTTTTTTTTTTCTTATTGCAGACAAAATAGCCTTTCTAATGGATGAGCTTCTTCAATCGATGGATCATTTGAAGTGACTTGTAATCTCTAATACTCTGAAAACAAGCACTTCAGGGAGTTTTGTTTTTTTTTTTAAACACATTCTTATCCCACTTTTTTATCAAATCTGCTTCCTATCCAAAAGCTGCTTTACTCTATACAATAAAATCACGGTAGAAGATGAAATTCATTACAATCATTGATTTAGGATGCACTGTCTTTTTATTGGGCATTTACTATTGGCATGTGCAATATATAACACACAGGACTATAGTATCGAACACATTTGGTACTAGTAAAACGATATAATTTTGCAAGTGTAGCAAATGTTTTGGATTCATATCAGAATTCCTATGATTGAAAGGTGAAAATACCAACTCTTGTTTCTCATTTTGCTAAAATACAGATTTGACATATTTCTTTCTTAAATGTGTACACTTCTTTGATTTCTTAAGTCAGTCATTTATGATGATTGTGTAGTTTTGTTCTAAATTTTAGTCTAAGAAAAAAAAAGTAGGAACACTGGTTCAGATAAATTTAAAATCCAAACAGGGAAACCATATTCCTAGCATAAAATTCTCACGTAGGTAATAAAGCAAGAATAGGGGTAGAGAGATGGGATTGTAAGTGATCATTTAGAAGCATTTTAGAAAGAAATTGGGACTATC